CTCGACTCCCAATGGAACGATCGGCTAGCACGAAAATACGAAACCCCAGTGTGACGCTGCACAAACAAGCATGCACGATGTTGTCACAGTGGTCGGTTATATGGGCTGGTAATACGTTTCCGCAAGGTGACGCGGGATTGCTACGACTTTTGGCGGTGCGCAACGACTTAGGGTCAGCACCTAGTAGCGACGAGGTCTGCATCTTCCCCGCCTCGCCCTCCCAAACTTCCTCAAGCTTGGCGATGCTCGATTGGAGGTCCGACTGGTCAGGGGATCCGCTGCTCCCACCCGGAGAAGGAAGCAATGGCATGTTCCGGCCATGCCTTGAGAAGGCCATTTCTGCCTGGCTCAATGCCGGCCTCGACGAAACGCAGCTAAGCATCCGCTGCTCTGGGCACCCGTAAAAACGTGCCCAAGGCCGCAGCAACACGCTCGTTGATCATCTTGATCTTCTCGGCCATGGCCTCAGCAAGGTCGCCACTTGCTTGACCCTGCCCATGTTGCAGATCCCCTACAAATCGAAAGAACTTACCTCCATCTTGCCCTTGATCTTTGTGATCTCCTGCAACTGAACACATCGAAGCTAGCGGAACCACAGAGCTGGTAAGAGAGCAGAAACGCGAAGCTCAACCAATGAGGAGTCCTTTCCCACTTTCGTTTCGGACGCATGCTTTGCATCAAGAATCATGACCTCCACCTCGGGCTCGGCTTGGGTACATACTATGCATGCTGCGTATGCCAATGTGTGGGGCATCCCAGCCTGCTGGCCAATGTCACGAGCAATGTCGTGGTGCAGGTCCTCAGAATCAGAGATGTCTCGGCTCCTGCTCTGATTAGCTACCCCGGAAGCATTCAAGCTGGTCTTGGGCAGGCGCCACATCACTGCTGGGGGCATCCTAAGTCTTAATTAGGCAATCCGAACTCGTTGCCCCTTCCTGAAGTGTACGGCTTATGGGTGCTCTCAGCGCGCGTGCGATGCCAGGCGGAGGTGGCGGCGGGCCCGTTGGGCGAGGTGGCGCCTTAATCAATCCCGCTGAAAGCAGCTTGCAGGGCACCACCTGTCCTAAGCGCTTGGCACTGTCAGTGCCGTTGTTGGCCATCCTCTCCTTGTCAGCAGCTTGCGGGTGCCGGGCTGCAAGAGGCCGGCAGAGTCTGTCTGAGCAAAGGACTCTGCACCCTCCAGAGGCGCACAGGGTCGGCCAGGGCCAAGGACTACAGAACCCAACACTGCGGAAAATATATGCAACTCCGATGTATAAAACCTCACCACCAGTCTCGGTTCCACTGCTGCACCTCCTCCCCTCTGCCACCGGATTTTCGCCTTGGTTTCAGGCGTCCAGCGGCCAGCCTGTGGCCAGTCGAGCTCGCTATGCTTCTTCTGGGAGCATCTTGCTCAACCAGATCCGAAGCACCATGCCGCCGTCTCCAGGTGCTCGGTGAAAATCTCACCCACCGGCTTCCGACTCTGCCGGCTCCGGGAAGGAGGGCAGTGAAAGCTCCGAGCCCAACTGCTGGCGGATGAAGTCCTTGTGGTCCTGTAGCAGGCTGCGGAGCACCTGGATGATCTCAGCCTCACGTCGAGAAGAGGCGCTGCTTCAGAGATTTTCAGAATCACGATAGCAACACACCCCCGGCCCCCGGCGCCTGTTCGTCCACCTTGGCTGCCAGACTGGTGCCGGCCAAGGCCAAGTGCTGCATGTGTGCTTCGACCACTTTCTCTGCGCCTTCGGAGGCCGCCTGGAGGTACTCCAAAAGCCTCCCTTCGGCCGCTGAGCAGCGCCGCTCGCAGCCTTGCAGCTCGGTCTCGAGGAGTCGTCGCTGCTGTGCTCCCCGCTCCCGTTTTCGCCGCTCTCTCTCCAAAGTCTTTTCCAAGCTCTGCTTTTGCCGCTCCGTCTCGTTCTGAGCAGCCTCGGCCTCGGCGGCAGCACGGCTCAGCTTTGCGCCGCGCAGGATGGCCTCCTTCAGCAGCGCCTCCAGCCGTGCCACCTGAGTCGCCGCTTTCTCGCTCGCTTTCCCGCGCTCCTCTCGAGCGCCCTCCTCCTGGCGGCGCTCTTTTTCGCGGCACTCGACTTGGCTCTGGAGCTCCAGGGCCTGCAGCTGGAGCTCTTCGACTTTCTGAAGCGCCGAGAGCCTCTCTTTGTCCAGCTGCTTGTTGGCTGAGGATTGCTCCTCCAACTGGGCCTGCAAAGAGGACAACGTCTCCTCGGCACTCTCGGCGCGTTCCGCTGTCGCTTGCAGCTGCCTTGCAAGCTCTTTGAGTGCTTGCTGCATCTGCAAAGACACATTCGAGTGACCCTGCTCCGCGGAAAACTCACAGTACTTCTCCAGGATCTCGCGAATCGACGGATCCAGGCTCTCTCTCTCAGATCGGCGTTTCTTTTTGGGCTCCCTGGCATTGCGGAGTGCATCTGTTTGCTTACCCAGTACTGCCATGTCGTGCTTCTGTCGGTCATCGAGCTCATCGACTTTGCCCCAAGACTCTTTCACCTCCTTCAGATCCTTCTTCTTACTCTTAGGGTCCTTCTTCCGAGCATCCGGCGGCTTGGGCGCATCAATGCCGGTGCCGCCCCCTCGTAGGCGAGCCGCTTGCTCGGAGGGCTCCGTCATCCGCCAGCGCCTTCTGATGCGAAGGCGGGAACCCAAGCTGGGACCCAAAGCCTCCTTGCCATCGCGCGGTCTGGCTGCCTGGGAGGCTCCGGGAACCGCTTCTAAGATGTGTTCTGGCTAACCGGACGAGCCATAAGTGGACGTGCTGGTCATGTCCCAAACCTCGTTAGCCCCGGCAACGAGTCTTTTCCGCCGGATTGAAAGCTCGGGGCTTTCTGTCTATGGGATGCCTAAGCGCTTCTGTGCTTTTGCAGGCACCATTGAGTAGCGGAGTCGAAGTTTCTTGTTGTGCTTTGCTGTTCGTGCGCTATCAGGTGATGACTTAGAGCTCATGGTGCTCAGCCCACTCAATGAGGTGATACCTGCGCAGGAAGGAGACCACACATGCCAGGCTCGAACAGAAAGGTGACAGTCTGTCGTGGGCAATGCAAAGGCGCACTGGGCATCACTGCTCGCAAGCTCCTGACAATGCATCACATCTGCAGCTGGGAATTCGTGGAAACGCCTGGCCTGCATGTAGTCTCACTCGTACAGGTTGCATGCGTGAGCTGCATGTACGACAAGGCTGTGTTGTGTTCTGCTTTGTTGTTGGAATTTTGCTGCAATCTGCTTGTGTGTGTGTGTCCTCTCTCTTTCACCATTTTTCTGGGACACAGTTCCTTGCATACTTAGGCAGAAGTGCGACCGTGGGCACGAGGGGCGGCTTAAAATTGGCGGATCTGGCTTGCGCGAAAATTTATTGGCTTTGCACACCTGACAAACATATTGAGCCGGAGGATTAGAAACCCTATCTTCCCAGATATACTTGTTAGTGTACACTGACCAATTCTGTCTCGGTCCTCCGACCCTCCGTTTGCCAATGTCGAACATAGCTGACTTGCCTGAGGGGGTCCTCCTCACTGCTTCTCAGAAGTTGGCTAGCTGGTTTGACACGCATCTCTCGAACCAATTCCGAAAACAGTTTGATTTCGTTGCTGTTGGGTTTATATGTCCGTCATTTCCCTTCATTTGCTTTCATGAGTACCTCGTCATTCGTATTTGCTCGGTTCACAACAGTACGATGCTTTTAATTGCTCCCGGTTGAAATGCATTTACTTTCTTCTGGGTCGATTGCGTAAGATGAATAGTTGGCAACATACAGATGCAATTTGAAGTGCGCTGGGCACTCCAGAGCCTTCAAACGACTGGCTAGCTTATATCAGATTATCAAATTTGTAATGCATCATTCAGAATCATTCATGTTATGGCGCATTTCACGTCTTGTAACTATGGCTTGTGTGATTTGATGTCCAGATACGTGGCTTCGTCTTCTCTTTTCAACCTGGCACCACCGGCAAATTTGACGACAGTGTGACCGTTCATAGCAGCATAAGAGCATTAGCCCCTATTTAGGCGTAGCCCGAAGTGTGCAGACACTGCTTCTACTTCGCGCAAAAATCATTGACAGCGTTGCTGTCCGTACTGATGCGTAAAGTATCATCCGCATGGTTAACTCTATCGACATCAATTTCAGAAGACCTAGAATTCACTGTACACCGATTCATATTACAGCTGATGTCGTGGTCTATGAGTCTATGACAGACATGATTAACGCGAACAAGTAAGAAGACCAAGAGCATCCTTGGCGAATGCCTGATCCTTGTTGCATTGTAGCGGATTTACAATAGTCATCCTCAACACAGAAGCGGGGACTGTAACGATCCATTATGACATCAGCAAAGTGCGGATGAATACAGAGCCGCTTGAAGGCTAGCGCCATTCCGTCATGTTGCATTCTGTCGAAGGCCTTGTCCCAATCTAGCACATTCATGATTTGATTCCAACCTCGCTGTTCTGCAATGTCTTGCGTGCGTCTGGTGACATATATGGTACCATATATCGCATGTGACGTACTCCGTGCTGGGCGAAACCCATACTGTGTTTTCGACAACTTTGGCTCCATGCTGCTTTGCAGCCGACTGGGTATCAATACGGTACCAAACCCCTAAAGATCTTTCAATAAACGGAGATCAATAATCAAATACGTCTGTAGTTTGACGGCATGTCAATATCATCCTTTTTTACAATGGGGACAAGCACTGATGCTCTCTCTGCTTGCATGGTTCATCCGCTTGAACAGTTCCCGAAGGGGCCTGGTTGCTTTCTTTCTTTTCATACTCTTTAAGCTTCAATCATACTCATCTGTGAGGAACGGGCCTGTGTTGAACACTTCATCTGCTCTAGGTAGTTCGCTGCACTGTGCTCTATCCTTAGAAGCCACATGCTGACCGTTATCATCTTTCATTTGTAGAAAAACGTGGTAAAGCTTACCTTTTCATGCCCTTAAATTCTTGCCAGATCTCGCTTTGATCTTCTAAGCTGATTAGACTATTCACCAGAGCATCCGTCACATCCTTCTTGGCATTCTGTGTAATTTGCTCTGACAACTACTTCGTTTCGTCGAATCTTCCGTAGGTCCTTGTTCATGCGACTGCTGTCTGCGGCTTATTGACTGCCAGGGGATTGCTTTTCGGAATTCATGAATGATAGGGGTCCGGCACTCTGAAGCTGTTTTAGCGATACCAGCGGACCAGCAGGTGCATGTTGTCATTCATTCCTGAATTTCAGTGTTACAAGTAGCTCAAGCAAAAAACAGCGGAGTTTGTCGCTGTAGTTCTTCCATTCCGCATCGGCTGGCTGCCGAAATCTGGCCGCTCTTGGACGGACTGCACACACGCTTGTTCTTTCCGTTAGCCAACCAGATGTCTAACTGTGCATGTCCGGCCCATGCACTGTGGTGATTTGCTGAAATACGAATTCAATACACAATGATACCCTAGATGACTACATGTAGGCAAAAGTTGGTGAATAAGGAGCTGTTCTCAAGGGTCATCTCCTGCATCGTGTTCAGATAGATAGTCTAGACCTCTACCGAAGATATCTGGTCCGAGCACCGTTGAACCCTCTGACTCTCTCACCGTTGATACTGTGTTGTTTCTATCAGCTCCAGTCTTGTGTAAGTAATCGGTAAGTTCTCTGCGATGTATACCCTTTGTCTTTGTTCACATGCTAGGATCAGTCTTGCGAGAACCTACTTTTGTGAGAAAACCTTGGGGATGCCCCACGGCTCCGCATTGTGTGTATACTCTTCAGCTGACATTTCTGACATGTCTGTGATTACCTGCGGTCATGGACAAGTAGAGATCTGTGCTGTGCAGGGCCCGCCCTCTAGTCGCAAGGATCGAACCTGTTGCGGGGGGGCGGGGCGCGATCCTGTTGGGGAAGCATTCCTGGTTACATCTGGTCACTATCACAAGTCTTCAATGCAGCTTCGCATTTAAAGAAATGGCAGCAGGAGCAGGCACGTAGTCGTAATCAACAAGGCTGTCGGAGTTCGTGCAGGGGCGGATTGTGGCCTGCGGCTCGACCCACCGCCCAAGCCAAGGGGAGAGGCACGAGGCAAGGGGTGTCGAGACGATGCTTTGAATGACGGATGATGACGACCAATGCTTCTGCTCAGCAGCGAAAACAGCACCAGAGCAGGTGAACCGCACCACTGGTGAACCTGCCGTGTGTGCAGGATGGATTAATTATGTATACTACCCCAGGCCCCACGTCATCTGGAAATGCCAATTCATAGGATCAGGATCACTACAGGTAACACACAGGCTGCCTTGCCGACTGTTCACGCACAGCTATAACGGCAGAGCTATGAGCAGCTACGAGTTGTAAGTGCACTGGAGCCAGCTCTACCTGTGTCAGCTGTGTGCATGCAGGTAATTAGCAGCAACGGAAACAGTCCTCTCGCGCATTTTCCAGTTCGTCGGCAGTTGCCATCATGTCTCCGTCCTGGGGCGAGCAAACAAAGGGGACGGCAGGCAGAAGCCCTCTCGCGGCTGTGCCCTATTTCCCCTGAGCCAGGAAGCCTTGTCCGCAATTTGCAGCAGGCGGACCATGGCAGCTTCGGTGTGGAACCTGCTGAGGCAGAGCTAGGAACCCCAAACGAGCCGGGCAACGTGTACAGCTGTAATCTCGGCCCTTCTCGCTCTTGAATCCCTTGGTGGCCGCTGCTTAACACTCTACCCCCGTAACGCAGCGGAGCGGGGTACAGTAAGGCACTATTCAGCGTAGTCAACGGTCAATCTTGCCAGCACGACACACCGGATTCCCAAGCTTTCAGCTCTTCCAAATTGAGGACCTCCGACCGCAATAAAAGCTTACAAGCATCTGTTCTTCAAATGATGCGCAAGGCAGTGACCCCGTTTCCGTCTTTGTCAAGCTTCTTGAAGTCTGAAACCTCCTCCTGTCACTTGCCGAGGCTTGCCAGGACTAGGAAACTCCCATGCGTGTCTGTCCTCGGAGAGCTGATCTTCGAGATCTTCCTCGCCAAACTCCCAGAACCTCAACGCAATGCGATTTAGCGACACACCCGCCAATGCCGACAAGTGCTCTTTATCTCAGCCAACTACTCCTTTGGAGTGAGCACTCCGTCGCCGTCAGCATCCTGTACTGACTCTCTTGAGTCTCCACCCCACTCAAAGCAATTGGCAACAGCCATAGACGCGGGCCTTCATCTTCATCGTGTCACGGACCACCACATCCAGCACTGCAGGATTCCTTTGAGAGACACAGCTATGAGGAGAAAGGATGCAGCGCCCAGGGACGGCCGCGAGCGGACATGAGGCCCCATCGTCTCTGGGTAGAAAAGAGAGGCCACTTCCTTGGCATTCAGTGCCTGTCAGGCTGACAGGGCTTTCGGATGTGACATCGGCCGATGTTGGGGTTCGGATCCCATCGCCTGGTCTTTGTCCTCGTCAGCAGCCAGGAACCTGGAGCCGGCTGTTAGCCCCGGCTGGGGTCTTCAAGTTGTAGTCATCAAAGGTCTTCCCGAAATCTCCGAGCGCGTGGCTTCTCGGTCTCGATGGCTTTGCGTCTTTCGAGCTCCTTCAGCTCCTCCTCATCACCGCCATCCGCCTCAGTGCAGTTCTGCACACGCCTATAGGCCTAGAACAGAGTCGGTTGCTCACTGAACTTCTCCGCCTGTGAATGCAGATCATTCAGGTGCTCCTGGAGAGAGAGCTTTCCATCCTGCCGCAGACTACATGTGGGGCTTCCTTGATCCTCTTGCTGTGCAGGCGAAGCGTCTCTTCTTACTCTTCCAAGGATGCACCACCCTTGTCAGCGGATTCCAACAAGCTCTTCTTTAGGCTCTGAAGCTGATGCTAAGGGTCTAAAGAGTCGATTTACTCGTGTGCTGCTTCGTCAACGCTGCGCGAGCTCTGTTTCGGTTTAGCCAACATGGGACCGAGCCTGTGTAATGCAGCTTCCCAAGCCCTCTTCGCAGGTCTATGCAGCTTTGACTTAAGATGCCTCGCCTACACATCTTCCGCTGCCCAACTTGGCTTCGCGACCTTCATACCTTCCACCCCCATGTAACCTAAACCATAACTTCCCGTCCCCTTCTTTGCAACAGCGTGCGCAATGCAGAACCGGCTGAGATTCTGGGTCCGTGCTTTGTCGCATCGTCTGTGCATTTTCTGCTACGATACAGCGACATAAGCTTCCAGTCGGAACGAATGGGAAAAGACTCATGCTCACGGAATTCACCGCCAGTTTGCATCAGGGATGCCAGGATGTGCGCATATGCTCCGGGACGAGCCACCACGCTAGACTCTAGAGATGCCCATTTCCGACCGAACAGCACGCCTTGTCAGTGTCGATCTCATCTAAGATGGCCGAGACATCCTGGATACTCAAAGTGTGCCCAAGAGTGGGAGCTCCCGTTGCATCTCACGCCCTTCCTTGCCCGCAATCGCTTTGCTCATGTGCTTGGCGAACTCTAACACCTGCCCCAACAAGCGTCAGGGATGACAAAAAGGCCAAGATTGAAGCGGCATGAACCTCGGACAAAGAGACTTTGCCATCGCCGTTCTGGTCGAACTTGGCATGCAGCGCCCTGAGCTGCCTGCCAAACAACAAAGGCAGGCACACTGCAGAACCGTGCAATTGCAGCATCTTGGTGAATTCAACCGTGGCCGTGGGGCTCTTTGGTCATGGCTTCCTCCTCGATGTCATGCTCGTCAGGAACTTCTTCCTCAGGAGCCGAAACGTCGTGGCCCCTGTCTCTCTCTCTCACGTTCTCAAGGATGTGACCGTCTCGTCCTCTTGGCCAGCTGCAGTTCGGAGGAGGGCCACCAGCCCTGCACGGCACTGCGAAGTGCAGAATTGTCTGAGCATGGCACCCATTGGGCATCGCACCGAAAACTGCGACAAATCTCTGTAAACGCAACATGGCCTGGCAGGTTCAGAAACTGGCTCTACTGCACACCGATGCTATCCGTGCAACCAGGAAGACAAGATGGGCCGGGCGTGCGGAAATGGCTTTGGAAGGAGTGCGGCTGCAGCTCCGCTTTAAGCCAAACTGAGGCATTACCATGCCTGGTGTCTTCTTTGGGCCCTACAGTGGGACCTGCCACACCTTGCTAACACGTGATGCCACTTTTCCCAACAAGCGATCCCCACTGTCCGATACACAGACGAGAGCCCTTGCTGAGCAATTCGAGTCAACTTGCAGTGTACACTGGGGCTGCGCCAGGGCTCAGCAAGGGTCAGGCCGATGCCGGCACAGGCATTATCCGAGGGCTGCAGAGGCTGAAGCTTCACCCTTCCAGGTGCAGCCCAAGCCGCTGAGCCCAAAAACCGCTCGGAAGCGGCATGGTGGGAACGTTAACAAATCGCCGGAAGCATCGCTTTCTCCCTCTTAGGCCTCCTCACTGGGGGCTGGCGACTACTTTCTGGTTTTAGGATGCTTTATGTTTGTATCTTCGGTAGGGAGCGGGCGGTCCTCACTGCTTTGTCCAGATGGTGATGGCCACACTGCGCTGCACCCACCTGCCAGGCAAGACAAGCACTTCTCCGAATCCGCTCTATACGCCCATAAGTATGTCTCAAGTGCGCCGTGGGCACACTGCGTTCGGCACATCCTTGGGCGACTTCACGGTGAAGGCGCTGATCTTAGTGACGTGCGGTGCTGGATGCACCTTCGACTCCTTTGGCAGGTGCGCAGGAATTCTCTCTGGGGTGCAAGCAAGGTTGCTTCGGCTGGTGTTTAAGTACACCGGAACTCGCAAGTGCTCAGATGTCTGCTTGAACCTGTAGACAGCGAGATGCACCATGCGCTTCGCTCATGTCCGCTCGCTGCACCCGGGTGCCCGGCTCTGCCGAGTCGACGTGGACCCAGCGGAGCCACGTGTCGGGCAAGGCCTAGCGGGGGTTTCGACTCTCCGACCCCTCATCTCATCCCCAGAGACCCGGAGAGCTCAGAGCGCAACAACGGAAAGCTCGTCGGTCACGGAGAGCTGCCCATCACCCCAGGCCGCACCCTCCATTTGGAGCCTGGGAATCGCGCTGCCCTGCGAGACTGAGGCCTGCTTCAAAATCGCCGGTGCCGGACCCCGTCATGTGGAAAACATCATCTCCAGAGAGAGCCGCGCCACCTGCATAGACAGACGACAACCGCGGTGATCTCGCGAAGAAGGCCGGGAAACGGGAAGAGGCCTATCTGCACCAAGAGGTTGAGCTCCTCGGAGCAATGAACACTGCACACTGCGTGGAACAACAGGCCGAAGAAAAGGCCTCCAAGGACACCTGCTTTTGCTGTGCAACCGCCTGGAATGCACGCGCACTTCGAAGTACTTAGAACGCCCAGCGCAACCACATGCCCAGAGATGCCCGGGGAGGAGGCCTGGCGGGAGGCCGTCAGGAAGGCTTCCGGGAAGAAGAGGCCCCCGTACCACAGCTGCACCTGCTGCAGCCTCGACAACCAAAAGGCCAGGGAAGCGCCCACACACAACACACACAGAACACATAGGACAAAGAGGCAAGAGGGAGCCCACCGGGACCCCACCGGGACCCCTGCGAGCTGCTTTGCACGACGCCGCGCAGCTGCTCCAGGCGCTTCACGAGGTCCGCCTGGCCCCAAAAAGGGGGCCCGGGTATGAAGCGTGTTATGTAGGAGGAAACAGGCCGAGCTTTCCAGGTACTCCGTGGCAGTGACCTCTGCCTGCAACAAGACTCTGCAAATCTGCAGGGTTGGTCCCTTCTCCGATGAAAAAGGCGGATTCTGCAGCATGGTCTTTTTTTGGGGGGTTTTAGCCCATGGTGCGCAGGGGCAGAGCAGACTCAGGGGTCGCCTTGAAACTGGCACCAGTTTTGGGCAGGCACTTCGATTATGAAAGAATATATATATATATCGGATGAGGAATCAGCCACAAACGAAAAGACAAGGCTAGGCCCACCATCGCGAACTGACGCCATGACTTTGGCACCTTCACAAGGTCGTGGTCAAAGTCGGCACACGAGGATGCATCGCTAGACTCACTAGACACTTCAATGAGGTTGCCAAACCTGGTCGGTCGTCAAGTCCTGGCATGATGGCAACGTGTCGCCGTGGTATTGCGGGGCCCAGCACCCGTAGTCCTGAATTAGCTGCCGGACGTCGTTGGTGCTCTTTGCACCTCAGATTTGCACCACCACCTTCACTCGGCTTTTTTGCGGTTGTAAACCTCCGAAGCCTAAGGCGTGCTCTTCCGTCGCAGGCCGCAGACAGCAAGGACAGGTCTTGTCGAACCTTCTTCAAGAGGGACCTGCATCTGGCGCGCCGAACGCGAGCGCCGCGGAACGCGAGCGCCGAAGAGTTGAAGGCCTCCCAAAGCCGACCTCTCGGTCGTAGCAGCGCCTCAGAGCAAGGCCAGAGGACCCCCCGAGCTTGGCTCTTTTCGCTTCCCGAGGGCACCACCAGAACGGGTCTTGGAGCGACGCCGCACTGCGCTGCATCTCTTCCAAGGACTCCGGCCTGGGGGCCGAAACTTCTGAGGCCTCCTTGATCCTAAAAAGCTGCTCTCTGAAACAGACTCAAGTGCTTTATGGCCGCCTCTACTCGCACGTTGTGCCTCTGAGCTTCGCGCAGGTTTGCGATCATTTGTCTCACCTTCAGCTGCCACTTCAGCCCGGATTTCAACTGCGCAGCTCGGCTTGCGCAGAGCCTTCGATCCCAAGTCTGCCAATGGGTTGATCAGAGCGGAAGCCTGGGCTACGTGAAGTCCGAAGTCGGAGGTTGGCAGTACAGCACAGCACAGGGCACCCCACTCTCCTCTTTTGGCCCTCGGCCTTCTTCTCGCCTGATGAGACATGGCATGACCTCTTCAGCACCGATCGGAACTTCTCTTGGGGGCCTTTCAACGCCCCGGTGTTCCCTTGCAGGAGCAGCCAACGCGCCAGGGTGTGATTCGCCTCAGAGGTGACTATGGATGCCAAAAGCGTGCTCCGGCCCACGATCACAAACGGGCCCCCAAGCCCGGTTGATGCGCAGCATCTGCTCTGCATGCACCGGTAAGCCTTGAGAGACGGAAACACCCCAAAAGGTTTTCCTGTCGACTTGCAAGCGCCTTGAGCCTCGAGATCTTTTTCTAGGATTGCGACCAACCCATGTCGGGCTCCCCTTTGCAGGCAAGTTGTCGATCCTTGCTTGTGCACTCGTGAGAAACTCCAAGCCAATTCAACTACTCGCTGCATGCTGCGGGCCAGACCACTCCAGGAACTGATCTCGTTTCCGGCCATCCGGGGATCGCAGGCACTGGTCCTGGCAGATGCCCTTGTGCAATTCGCACCACTTCCCAGGTGTGGGCTTGACTAGGACTGCCTTTGCAGACTCCATGTTCAAAGAGAAATCAGCATCGAAGGACCTCGCCAAACGGGGAAGCAGTACATGCTTTCGGGGAAAACTGGGTTTCTTGGTGGCCCGTACTCTGCCCGGAAAAGGTGATGGATGAAAGCCTGAAAAGCACAGCACAAACCGTGCTTTGAAAATGGCCGGGGCTTGGAAAGTCACCAGTCTGAGCCTTAAGGACAGCGTGGTCGAACTCGTTGTCCACTCGGCCGCCGTAGATGGACTCGCCTCGCAACCGTGCAGATCTTGCCTGTGAGTCTCCCTTTCCCCTCTCTGCCTCTCTACCTCTCTCCCCTCCCCTTCTTTCTGCAGGAGACAAGGATGGAGTGGAAAGTCGGTGTTCTACTAGGTACTACATCCACAGACGTGTTGTGCTGACAAGGACGTCAGGGTCCCCGCACAGGTACAGATGGTCAACAGCAAATCGGCTCAAACCACGCTCTTGAAAAAACCCGAAGGGGGGGGCGTTTTTGCTGGGGGGGGGGGGGGGGGGGTGGCTTGCATGTTCACTTTGACATTAGATTTGAACCTGTAGCTACTTGGACCAGGGGCGTTAGAAGAAGAGCAATAGCACAAGAGACGATGCAACAACGAAGAGGAGTGCCTTGGGAACCGCTCACTATGATGTATGCTTGACTTGCTGCTGCGGTATTCCTTGTATTGTTGGCATACCGGAAGCCTGGTCTTGAGATTCGTCTTCGTCCAGCGTGGTGATGTCACAGCGCTCGTCGATGAGTTGCTCATATTCAAACGACGTGGTGCCGTCGTAAGCTGGTGCGATCTTCGGTGTAATACCGAGATGGTTGAGCATTTTGTCAGTCGATGCATATGACTGGCGTGCAACAGAAGACGCTGACCCTTGACAGGGGTCGTCCTCATGTTTTCCGGAGGTGTTGCTGCCGTCATCGCCACCTTCATGGGACGACATGGTACTTCCCTGAACGAGCGTTTCTTTGGAAGCGATTGGCCTTGGCGAACCGCTTGGTTGGTGTCTGGTGGGATGGCGAGCAGGAACCGGGCTGCTCTACCAGAAAACTGCCCCCACCAGGTGGAGTAGTTGGGGTTAGACCTAGTGGCTTGACACACTAGGCAGCAGTTGTTTTGTATGCTTTGCTGAGAGAGCTAGCTGTTGGTGTGAGAACCACTTCAGCCAATATAGGACACAGTATACATGTATAAATCGATGACTGCAGCGGCCATGTCATGAATGTTACATGTCATCGCTGAAAACACTCTGCGAAGGCCTGTAGAGCTTTACCCCTCTCCCCCTCTCCCCCTTGCCCCCGAAGTCCCTCGCACCCTCCGCGTGCACGACTTGGGTTTACGGTTTACTTAACGGCCCGACTGGACCTAAACCTGCTTGCCTGCACTCGGCAGCAATGCTTTTGTCTGTTTCGCTGAGAGAGCTAGCAGTTGGTGTGTAAATCACCTAAGCCAAAAAAGGACGATGTCATTGCTGAAAGCACTCTGCAAAGGCCTGGGGGCCTAATGCATTTAGAGCTTCAAACGCACACTAATTGCCTTTTGCTGTATGCATGACACTGTACGGACACTGTTCTTCGAGTATGGCCATTGCATTCATAGGTGCATACAAACTTTGGTATCGTATGGCAGGTGTTTGCGGAGTAATATAGGCTACGCCGCACTGCAAGCGCTCTCGGACCCGAAAGGTCACCACACCGTGCGAACCAGCCTGGCTGGTTTCAGACCAGGTCCAGTTCGGTTTGCCGGTAGCGTTCATGCATTGCTTTGTCCGGACAAAACGGCGTGCCCAAGAAGTCGTTTGAGGGACTCCGCCTTTGCTCGACCGCTAGTCTGTGATATGGGCCTCGTCGAAATAAAAATACGTCACAGCATAGACTAGTTGACACCACACTGTGAATTTGGAAACGCGATTAAAGCTCGTCGCCGCCAGCGGTAGCCCAAACAAGAGGCCACTGTGGATCTGGCAAGTGGGGGCACCCCAGCCGACAAACACACAGGCCAAGCTCTCTGCTCAGTTCATGGGGCGCCGGTACGCGTCTGGCCAATCTTCCCCTCCTCCCAACTATCTGCATCAGCGAGGGCCTGAACGGCAATCCATGCTGGATATCGCCAACGCAATGCGCCGAGCGAAAAGGGCTGAGCACCGACCAGCCAACTTTGCTGGCCAGAGCTTTGCGTGATGACGCACCTCGGGATCAGCCTAAACGCCTCGCCCTTGGTCTCCCGAACAAGCTGACTCCGTGTGAATGGAGGGGTGGCAGAACCGCCTCTGCATCTCGTGTTCGTGAAGGGCCGGGCGCATGGAGGCTGGATCTGCACATTGTGCCGCTCGTGGCCATCCAACACTGGACCAGAAAGATGGGAATCGCACCCTGCCCGGGGGTAGGCACCCACAAGGCAAAGAATAGCCCACTGCTGGCATGCGCTCGATGAAGGCTAGAGGCAGGCTGTGGTCGCACCAAGAGGTAAGCACAACCCCATTCTGGCGTTGCGGATTGGTGCAGACTGAAACGTGCAAAGATTTTCGCCTAACGCCCGTGCAACGCCGTAAGGGCGCCCACACGCACCCATCGCAAGGTCCTCAGTCCTCCCCGCTGCCCCGCGGTCACCTCTGCTGCGAACTGCAAATCCAATCCAAAGCAGCGCACGCTCTGTTGGGATGGGGAAGTCGGCCGCCTGACCAACGTGGCCTGGAATTGCTCTCGAAGAAGTGGCTGGGGTACAGCGACCGAAAGACGGCAACGAGGAATCCCTGAGTCCTGTAAGGGATGACCCTGTCGCAATCCCCGACAAAGTGGTCACCACTCGCTGAGCAACACCATCTTTGGCACCTCGGTTGGAACTTCCGATGGGCCGGTACCAGCGGTGACTGACGGTAATCCGGCGTACACATGCCCAGGACGATGTCGGCAAACCACTTCGGCATGAACTCGGGCCCAAGCTTCCGATGGACCTGCCCCTGGACCAAGCATGCTGCTCTTGTACAGGTTCCCACGAAGCGGGACTTGAGAGCCACCTCGCCCATCCCTCGCACAGGCCTGATTGACACAGCGCGCGACCCGGCATCGCAAAACCCCTGCGAAAGAATCGCACCCAACCAGGGACGGAGGGAAATGCTGTGGATCTCAACTGCGTCAGCCCACAAACGAATCTGGAAGTCGAGAAAAGCTGGCGTTGCCCTCAAGGTCTCCTCAGTGACGGCGGCAAGCCGAGCCCCAGGCTCAGGACCATAGCCGCCCTGGTAATATGGCGGGTCACTCCCGCTCAAAACTCAGAAGTTTCACAACTCCTGGAATTTTGGCTCACGGCCAAGCTTGAGCCAAAATGGCAGGGGGAGCAGTGAAGGTATGATCAATGCGCAAGCCTGCAGAGCTCTACGCATGCAAGAACATAGCATGATGTAACGTAATTGAATGATGTAGTAGAATCGCTTAACACAACTACATGTGCATGCTTGTTGATGTAATGTGTTTACATAGCGACCCTTCTTCGCGATCGAAACTTTGCCAAGCCGAGGTGCTCAGGATGGATCGGATGGCATCCCAAGGGATTTTGTCCTCGCAGATCACGGGCATCTGTGGAGCCCAACCACGCGCACCATGCACGCCGGTCCGGGCTGATGTTGGACAGCTGCCCCTGGTTCGAAACACTGTCCTGTCGCAGGTGAAGGTTGCGAGCTGCTCTCCAAAAATGCTCGCCACGCTTGCACACATGGTTCTAAGGCCCGATCAACCCACGCATCGATGATGTCGCGGCCTCGGTGTCACCGGTCCCACGTGCCACATGCAGGGAAAAAGAGGAAACGCGGGAGCAGCCGGTGCGGCCCTGGCCGCACGTCTGATCTGCGTCGCTGAACTCGTACTTTTTGCTCCAGCCTGCGACTTTTTTGAGCCGTATACTATAGTTACAACCAAGAGTCTGCAAGACTCCAGCGTGTGCTGGAGCCTACTGGGAAAAACCGCAGCCGCTCTAGCACGACCGCGTGCAGGAAGGCCAGCAGAAAGTGAAGCCTGACACGCTGGTGGCTGGCCGCGTCTCAGGACACAGGGCGACAGAAGCCGGGGGCAGATGATGTCTCCTTTTCTGTGGGGGTCTTTCCCCGGCTATGGGCTCTCGCAGGCACGCCTGCAGCGCTCCACCGGCTGCCGGTCCGTGCGCTCCGGCGCCAGGACCTGCGCGAAGGAGCGCCGGAGGGAGGCCCGGACCTCAGCTGCGGCAGCCAGAAAGGGCTCTTCCGATTTTCGACTCCGGATCCGCAGAGGCCCATATTATAGTATAGTATAGTATATTGTAGTATACTGTAGTATATTAGAGTATATTGTAGTATAGTATAGTATAGTATAGTATAGTATAGTATAGTATAGTATCTTATAGGTTGGTATAGAAGAGTATATTATAGATTCAGGCCGGGCCCCCGACTCCGGAAGGTGGCTCGAAGACGTAGACACGGGAGAGGCGGATCAAGTTGGCGGGTATCCTCTCTCGATTCAATTACGACACATTCCCCCGTCCGGTTTAGTTAGGGCAGGGTTTGGGGTTTAGGGTTTAGGGCCTGGGATTGAACTCCATGGTAAGGAAGAGCCGGAAGTTCTGCTGCGGGTTCATGCCGTAAAGCTTCTTCTCCTTACAACACGGCCCGCTTGCGGATGAAGCATCGCCCGAGAACTCTGAGACGCTCACAAGCTCTGAAAGCCACTTGATTGCCAAGTGAACGTTCCTTGAAGCAGTGACCCGCCGTTTGGGGCATAGGGCACATCGGTAATGGCTACAACTCTTCATTGCTTGCACACTGCCGCCACAGCACTTCAGCAGCACCCAGCTGCCTGCATTCGATGCTGCTTTGATGGCCTCAAAGACTTGCCATCTCTGCAGGCCCCTCTGCCGCAAAAGCGTCAACAAAGCAGTCACAATCGAGTCGTGGGCTTTGTCTGCCACATTGAACCCCTCTTCGGACCCCATTGCGGCGGACTGCAAAGACCTTGCCGGGCAGGCAAAAGGAAGAGAGCAACAAATAAGGCGATGAACTCCTTCCACTGATGAATATCTATCGGGGCACTTCTTCTGTGCCTGCGCCACTTCCGTCACCTGCTGTAGTCCCGTTTATTGAGCCGTGTCCACAGACTCATATCTAAAATCGAATCGAAGCTCTGTGCCCGCGAAGTTGGCACCTTCCCGCTGGGGTCGAATCCGGGCACTGAAACCTCGGCCAAGGAAATCGGACTCCAATTGAAAAGTCGATTCGACTGGGCTCGCCATCATGATCGGCGACGAGGCCTTGCTGTCCTGACAGCAAGAACACTAAGGACCCGCTTGCACAGGCACGCTATCGTGTGTCCTTTGCAATGATCTCTGCCAAGTTGAAGGCCGGCAGGTCCAAAAAACCCTTCCCAAGCACCACTTCCACCAACTGGGTGCCTGGGTGGCGCTGCGATTGAATCCGCGATGACACTTTACCCTGGCTGTCACAACAACTCAGCCGAATCACACACGAAGATCAGCCGGTCCGGGCGCAAGGCCTGCAATGAAGCAATTGCACAGGCCAACGAGCAAAGACAGGGCGCAATTGCAAAACTCGCTTCTCTCATCATGTTTCTAGCTGCATGTTCTTGGCCTGTCTAATACACTGCCAGCCATGCAAAACACTGCCTGGGACTGCTATTCGGGGCACGGCAACATCGTTACACCGGTGCTGGAGCACTGAAAGGGCCACACTCACGGAAGGAGCACTCCGTCCGCTCGCAGCGATGACGTGGGCTCCGCCTTGATGATCAGGGTCTTTTGCAGGAGGCGGCTGGTCTCGGAGTCCTCCTGAGACCTCCAAAAGAACCAGCGCAGCTCGAGCAGCCCTTAAGGAGCGATATTAAGTGGTCTCAAGCCCCCAACTTCTCCCATCCGCTGGGCATGACGGTTTCCGGCTCCAGGTGCTCCAGAAACTTCAGCCACTCGGCCTCTTTGGCCTGGTTTTTGGCTGCTAAGGAAAGAAGAAGTGGATTGCATGCGCCTTGCTCTGTATGCTTCAGAGCCTGGCCTGAATGTTCCCCACCAAGCCACCGAAGCACGGGAGCAGATGGAGATCCTTGCCACGTGTTTCACCCCCTGCCCTACTCACCAGAGATTATCGAGCTCAGAGATTGAAGCTGTCGCGCTCAGGCTCAAGTGTGTTCACGATAAGCGCAAGCATCCGAATCTTGCTCTAGGCTCGGGACAAACAATGCAAGACCCCCGAGCATCGGTCTTTCGTCGTGAGATAGGACAAGACTTTACACGGCTTGCCCGAGATCGTTGGCATGCAACGGTCTGTGAGAGACTGTGCAAGGCAGACAAGGCTTTGAAGGCTGTGAATGTCGTGTCCGCAGCCTGCAAGCCCTTCAGCTGTTGGTTGTTCAGCTTGGGCTTCAGCACCTTCAGAGCTGGAGAGCCAGCGAGCCAGCCCCTTTTTTCTGTCGAAACCGCTTCTGGCCGTGATCTTCTTGGCACCTCCCGGCACTGCTCGGCCAGGGGTGTGGAAGCAGACTTCAGCACGTCCACGGCGGCGCCTGCCGACCCAGCCGGAATCAGAGTCTAGACTCTCTCTAGTCACTCTAGAGTCTAAAGTCTAGCGCGCCTTTTAGGAGCTGGTCTAGCTCCGGCTTCGAAAAGGCCAAACCTCCCAGGCTGTCGGCCCTCACCTGCGCCCAAAGGAGAGGACCCCCTCTGGGAGCCACGGGCCGTGCTTCTTTGGCCTGCGCCAGCTGCAGGCCGAAGACCAGGACCTCCGGCGCGAAGGATGGCTGAGGGCGCCGCTCCGCTCAAAGAGCCCCTCCCTCTCCACCACCGGGGCTCCCGGCGTCTGCTTCCTGGAGGCCCGGGGCGACTCGAAGGAAGAGGTTGCTGAAGAGCTTCACGAGAATGGCCTCTGAGAGCAGAAAAAAGGAAAGCCTGCCAGAAGCTCATTCATGCGAGGCCCTTGGAGCGCTCCTCCAGGCGCTTCTCGTAGCCCAGGTCCTGAGCTATATCCACCGCTCAACCGGCGCCCCCCCTTTCACTTTGAAATCACTTCCACTCTTCGGCCTTGCTGAGCTCCGTCTTGATCGACGCCTCGAAGACCTCTCGAAGCGTGTTTTGGGAGCCGCTTCTCTCTCTTCCCAGTCTCAGTCTCTCGGTCTTCGCCTCCAGGAAGAAGGCCAGGCTGTAGCGGTAGAGCGTGTGCATGCTCCCCATGCGCTGAAGCCTCGAAGCCGAGCGAGAGGCACGAAAGACGAATCGCCCCACAAATCAGAGGCTATGGCATGAAGTACAGGTTGGCCGCAACTTCCCCGGCGGTGTCGTACAGCGCGCTGGTCTCGTTGATCTCCTCTCTGAACAGACTCTCCAACCTCTCAGCCACTATTTCATGCACCCTTTTGCCTGTAGTGTCTGACGAGCGACAGCAGATCTGAAGCTCCAAAAGACAAGCTGGTGTCCTGCATGATCGCATCCGTTTGGCCCAGCTTCTCCTCAGCAAAACCACGATACATCGAAGGCCTTCAAAGCCTGCAAGTTGGGATGAGTCCTGGATCTCTGATGACTCTTTCTTGATCTTCTCGAGGGTCGCGATGACTTTCTCGTCCTAGAAGTTCATCCGTCTACTTCACTTGTCCGAAGCTAAAACCAACGAGTCCTCCAAGATGGAGCCTTCCACGTTCGACAAGGCATGGAGAAGGTGCTCCTCACAGCACACCCAGCACGCGGCAGACGGGTCACGAACCCAAGTGTTCCCCGGATTCCGGCATCCTCCAGCTCGCGCATCTTCACCTTGCAGGTCCCAGACTACTCCTTGAAGAAGACTGGCAGCTTGCACCTTGCACTCACCCTGGAGCTTCAGTTGGTCCTCCCGTTTTCGGTCAACCTCGGATGGCGGCAACAGGGCCACGCTGCCCTTGGCTTCTGTGTGGTCTCGAGTGTCCCACATCCGGCCGCTCGGACTTCAGCAACGCGTTCATGCACCTCAAGACGAGAACGCGCTCTCCGGGGCAGGGCCGGATCGCAAAGCGTCCGCTGAACCGCGCACTGACTCTGCAGCGACGAAGGCGTCACAGTAAAGTTCACGAAGGTCACCTTACAGAAATTGAGTTCACAGAACGACAGTCCGAACGAAAAGGCGCTCGACAGGCCCGAGAGCGCAGACCAGAGCTGAGGCCGTGGCTCGGCTGCAAAGGTCAGGCGTGAATTGCGCTGTGGAGTCGCGGGTGCACATGTACATCCTCAGATGGAGCAGACGGGAGAATTTGAGGTTCTCAGCCAGCCTGAGCCAAGTGTCTCGAAGGCGGGGCTGAAATCGATGTCCTGATCGCCGAGAGTGATCAGCACCCGCGGCCCGCCTCGACTGTTGCCAATCAGCACGTAACGACATGCCCCTCGGACGTTCCAAATCCTAACTGGGTTCGCATGCTCAAGATGCCGGTGCGAGAGCTCAGGGTTTCCACACGCACTCTTCGTAGTTGCAATGGAGCAGCTTTTGTGGGTCTCCCGGTTGAGCACATTGTTGAGGATAGGATCCACCTTGTCCACATCCATCACAATGAGCGGGGCTCCAAAGCGCAGCGCGGTCTCCAGGCTCTTCATAAAGCTGTTCTCCTCAATTTAGTCTTCCAGCCCTACCACAGCATGCACAGCTACGTTGAGAGTGAGGGGAGGAAGGTCACTTCAAGTCCAAGCTGCCACAAAGGATGTCTTCAGGAGCTTCTTGTCCTTAAACTCGTTGCTCAGAAACGTGATCGCCTGACCCGATGGGTCGATGATCAAGGGATATCGCAAGAATCGCCGCATGATGATGGCATTCTCGTAGCAAAGGTCGTCATCCGGAAGTGCCTTGCCACGAGAGGCACCAAGCAAAGCTTTGCATCGAAGCGGGCTGTCTTGACCATCGCCACACCATGGAAGTCGCCTATTGTAGGCTGGTTACCCGATACGCATCCTCTTTACACCCTATATGGGCTCGACCCAGCCCTCATGCGCCGGGTTAGCAGCAGACCTGACCGAGCTTCAAGTTGACGAACGGAGAATCGGACATTCGCTACCGGTGTTCGGCACGTTGCCGTCCCATCCCCCATGAAACTGGACACCCTCCCAAGGTCAGGCAGCTGAAGCCTGCTCGTCACATGCTGAGTCCCTTTCGAGCGGCTTGCGCCTTTTGTGACGTTTGCTCCTGTTCTGATTGGTGGCAATCCTTTTGGACCGGTTTGCTCCTTCTTCTGACTGCTCTGGTCGCGTTCGAGCGGTTTGCACCTTTTCCTTCACATGCTTTAAAATACCTTTCGAGTCTTGCGTCTTGTAAACCCTTCTCGAGCAGCTCGATGCTTCTATTGGTCTGCTCCATTTGCTCAAACGCTCCAGTCCATTTCGAACGGTTTGCTCCTCCTTCTCAATTGCTCCGATCCCTTTTGAGCGGGTTGAACCTCTTTTTTGTTCAAGCCCTTCTTCCAAAATGCCCTTCTCCCTTTCGAGCGGCTTGTCTCTCTTGTTCACATGCCTTAGTCCCCTTTGCGCTGCTTGCTCCCTCTTCTCACATGCTCTACGCCTTTTCGAAAGTTTGTCCATCTCGAGCGGGTGACGCCTTTTCTTTGTGTTGCTCCCTGGCTGTGGCCCTTATGGCCCTTGGAGTGGCTTGCTTCTTTTATTCAAACGTTCCAGCCAATTTCCCTCGACCTCTTGACCTGCCTTTCTAACTGTGTAGTTGCTCTAGTTGCTATGACTCGAGCGGTTTGCGACTGCTTTTTTGGTCCGTTTCGAACGCTTTGCATCTTCGTCTCCAAAGCCCCAGCCCATTTCGAAGGCTTTGTTCCTTCTTTTCAATCGCACAAGCTGCTGCTCGGGCGGTTTACTCCGTTTTTTAAAGCTCTGCAGGCTGTGCTCCCTTTCGAGCGATGTGCTTTATTCCCAAATGATCGGGTGGTTTGTTCCTTATTCTCGTGCGTTCTCGTTTAGCAGTTTGCTCCTTCTCTCAAACGCTCTAGTCCCCTTCGAGCGGTTTGCTCCTTGATTACATCCCGGCCCTTCTCCTCCAATGGCGCCTCTAATCAATTTCCAGCGGTTTGCGTTTTCGAACGGCTGGCTGCTGGCTTCTGTCTCTCCGTTGCTGTAGCACTGTAGTTCTTTTGGAGTGGTTAGCCTCGTTGTCTCAAATATTCCCAGAACCCGGGTCCCTTTCGAACAGTCTGTTCATGGTGCAGTCAATTTCGAAAAGCTTGCTCCTGTTGTTCGGGCGACGGGAAAAACAGAAACCAGATTCGGAAACTGCCAAGAGCAATTCGGAATCGGGATTCCGGAATCACCAGAGAATCGCCAGAACCCAGAAACCTGATTCGCAAACCGTGTGAGGAAAACGTGGGAGCCGCGAACAGCCAATGCAGGAGAACCAAATGGTCACTAGCCGGGCGCCAGGACGCATTCCCGCTGTGCGTGGATGCGTGGCTAAGTCAGATTTCCTAACAGGCGGCCGTTCCTGGAGGTTTGCAGGCAAAGCAAACCTCCACATCGTCCCGGAAATGAAGCCCTAAAGCTGTCCCGAAGATGAAACCCTAAAGCGAGGAAGGCAGAGCAAACCGTAAAGTCGTCCCGGAAATCGCGTCCCGAAGATGAGACCTCGCCAAGAAGGCAGAGCCAGCCCTAGATAGAGTATGCGGAGCACGCCCTAGGCCCATCCTAACCCCGCACCTCGAAAAGCTGAAGCAAACGGACGGCAGGGGGGTCCGCGGCGTGTTATCTTTCTTTTTCGTATGTAGTGTCTGTATCCCTTTTTTGTTGCCAGAGCAAACCCTAAAAACGTCCCCAAGATGAAGCTCTAACGTCGCCTCGACGATGAAAACCTGAAGCGGTTAGGCCGAACAAACCCTAAAGTCGTCCCAAAAAGTAAGTCCCAAGCCCTCAAGTCGTCACAAAGACCAAGCTTAAAGTTGTCCTGAAGATGAAACCCGAAAACGAAGAAGGCCAAGCAAACCCTAAACAAATCCCGCAATGACGCCCTAAGGTCGTCCCGAAGATGAAACCCAAAAAAACGAGGAAGGCAGTGCAAACCCTGCAGGCGCCCCCAAGACGAAGGAAGGCCTTCCGGCATCCGGTAGCCTTAACCCTAAAGCGATGAAGGCAGAGCGAGAGAGCAAACCGTAAGATGAAGCCCTGAAGCGAGGAAAGGCAGAGTAAGCCCTGAAGTTGGGCCCCAATGAACCTGCAGCCCAACAGAAACCCCAGGCTGCTAGTATGACGCAGCTTCGGAATTGCACCGTCTCGGTGCGGGAATTGGCTTTCCTGGTTCTGAAATGCCGGTTCCTGAATTTCTCGGTTTGGTTCCTGAATTTCTGGTCCCAGTTCTCAGAATCCGTTCCGAAAATGCTGGCTTGGTTTTTGAATGGGTCTTTGCTCCCTGTTTCTCAAACTCTCTCGGAAAGGTTCCCTCGTTTTTAAAGGCTCGAAACCCTTTCCAACGGCTTGTTCCTTGTTCTCAGATGCTGCTGTCAATTTTGAAGGTGTAGCTCCTGTTTTCCTTTCGCTCTAAGAGCAGCTTGCCCGTGTTTCAAAAGCTCGAAGCCATTTCGAATGGTTTGCTCACGCTGCAATCAATGTCGAGCCGTTTGCTCGTCTTGTCAAAGGTCTTAATTCTTTTCGAGCGGCTTGCTGAAAAAGCCTTCGTCCCTTTCGAGCAGTCTGCCCCTGCCTGTCATTCTAATCAGCAAGCCGCTGATGTTTCAACGATGCGCCAATCCCGTTCGAGCCGCTTTCTTGCTTCTCAAAGGCTCTTCGTCCCTTTCGAGCGATTCACTCTTGTTTGTCAAACGCTCTAGTTCTAGTCCCTTTCGAGCGGTTGTTCTTTCTTCTCTAGGGCACCAGTCCTTTTCGAGCGGTTTGCATCTTCGTCTCAAATGCTCTAGTCCCTCTTCAGGACGCTTGTTTCCTTTTATCATTCTAGTGATTCTATTGCTTTTCGATTGGGTGCTTTTTTTGTTACACATGCTCTGACCCCTTTCGAGCAGCTTGCTCCCTTTGTTCAATCGCGTCAGTCCCTTTCGCGCGCTTTGATTAACTTCCCGCGCTTTCTCGCGCTTTCACCATTGCCTTCGCCCCCCTCGAGCACCGTGCGCCCTTTTCGCTCTCTTTCAAGTGGTTTGTGCCTGTTTCTCAATCGCTCTATTCCCTTTGGTGCTTCAATCCCTTTCGAGTCACTTGCTCCTTTTTCTCACCATTTCGAGCTATTTGCTCTCCTTTCTCACATGCCTTAGTCCCTTGCTAGCGGTTTACTCAGGTTTCTCCGATGGTCTAATCCCTGGCGAGCGCTGTTTTGCCACAGAATTCCAATGCTCTAGTTAGTCCCGTTGGAGCCGTTTGCGACTTTTTGAGCTCTAGACCCATACGAGCGGTTTGCCACCTTTCTTCAAAGGTTCTGTTGCTTTGTTTCTCAAGCGCCCTGTCTGACCTTTTTGTGCGCCCAGTACGTGCTGCAGTGGCACTGCAGTGCGTCACATGTAGCTGTACAGCAAGAGCACGCGCTTCTGCCAGTTGTGCCAAGCCACATTTTGCTTCCACTGGAGGCGCTCGGAAGGTTTGGACAGGTATTCCTTAAGTGTGGCAGCACATAGGTGTGAAAGGCGGTGTGCAAACCTGCTGCAAGAAAGCGGCGATGATGGAAATATCCTCCTTCTGCTTGATTTCGGCTTCGTCCAGTTTCTCTCGCCAAAGTTGGATAACTCGCTGACGCATGAAGAGATCAAAGAAGCCAATGTACGTGCAAAAGGCACCACAAATCAGAACATCTCCGATCCTCAGCATGTTGCTGCGATCTGGTCAGCCCAAGTGAAGGGTGAAGCAACGACTGAAACAGCATTACAGTTACACACTGCGTAGCAAGTGCACTGTATGCTGGCCCGGATCATGCTGGCCGTCTGCTCCTGAAATCCCTTGGAAGAGCCTTGCCATCTTACTTTCTCTGATGAGAGGTCGGTAAGAAGCTGGGTTGATCTTGAGCAGTTCTTCTGAACCTGAGGCATGTCGCAATCAAAGGGAAATTGAATATGTCGACATTGGGCTGGTGGCTGGCGCTGGCAGTTCTAAAACATCCGCGGGGCTTGCTGCATTTGATGCTTAATCTGCTCCACGGAGGTGATCAGCTGCGCATACCTCGGATTCTGCGACATTCCAAGGGCTCGGGGCCAGGGGAATTGGCGTCCATGCACAATGCGGCGAAGACGCTGCTCTTTATACTGCTGGATTTTCTTCTCCATCTCTGCAACCTCCTTCTCGCACGCCTGCAGCTCTACTTTGTTCTTGTCCGCCTGCTGCTGCATCTGCTGAAGCTCATTCCTGCGCTGAAGTGAGACTGTCACCTCCTGACTTCCGCGGCAGTCTGAAGTGTGCGATTAACCCTAAACCCTAAACCCCTAAACCCTCAACACGAGGCCTCATGGGCTCCATCATGTTCAGGAGATCCGCGAACTGCAGCTGGCTTTCTACCCACTGAGCCACTGGACCAGCACAGCGGGAGGCTTGCTTGATCCGCGACACGTCCCATCCCTGAGAGCCAGGGAAGTGCAAGGTGTGGTGCGCATGTACCTCTTGGTGCGTTGCTCGGAAGTGGCCTTGTTTTGGATGTACTTCTTCTTGAGTGTCTCCCTCGTGGCATCCTGCAGCAACGAGTCCACGCTTGAAGACGCTTGTTATCCTCTGAGGTTGGGGACAAAGGAATCTCCATTTCGAAAAGTCCTTCAGCTGCTCCGCATCCTTGGACGTGAACACGAAGTGTACAGACCGTGCCGAATTGCACAAAGAAACAGCGGTAGTAAGGGCTTGACAGACATAACAAAAAACCCTCCCAGCGTCGTACTCCAGAATACTGGGAATGAAGTTTGCATAACCCTAAACCCTAAACCCCTCATTGTCCATGGGCCAAAGCGTCGTACCCGAGAATACTGGGGATGAAGTTTGCATCGCGCATGACCTTGCGCACCGCCTCCCAGTTGATGGTGGCCGGCGGGATGTCGGGCCGGACCATGAGGATGACCGCCTCCATGGCCATCTTCACGTGCTCCGGGGGCTTGTTCATGGACCGGAGCCTCAGAGGCTTAGGGTTTAGGGGGGTTTAGGGGTTTAGGGGGTTTTGGGGTTTAGGGCGTCGCTGCACTTGGCGCGGCCAAGGGGCTCGTCGAGGGCCTGCTTGTTGACAGCACCCACGGCGCTCTTGGCGGCCTCCAAGGCAGGCTCCACCTCCTCGATCTTCTTCTGAATCTCCCCCCTTCTCTCGTCGATGACCTTGCTCTGCTCCGCCAGGTCCACCTCACCAAAAAGCGACACAGAGAAACACAGAACCCCGCCCAAAAAGGCCCCCCGGACAGTCGCCCAGCCCTCTGAGAGGCCTGGAGTTTCTGTGACGCCTGCTTCCGCTCCTCGGCCTCCCCCTGGCCCTTGACCATCTGGGACATCATCCTCAGAGCGCCGCGCGGCTTAGAAAAGAGAAGAAAAGAGAAAAGAGACCCTCCCTGAGAGCTCCATGAAAGAGCAGAAACGAGGCCGGGCGTCTCTTCCGCTTCCTTGTTCTTGGCCGTCAGCATCTTCTCCTTCTCGGCTAAGCCGCTCTGCAGGTTTGCCACTTGGTCCTCGGTCTCCTTGAGTTTCTTCAGGCCTGTTCCCAAGGCACAGGGGCATTAAGGCACGGGATTTTGAAGCAGTTGGCAGTTCGGCCTCCATCGATGTGGCTTTGCTGGTCCAAGACTTCGTCGCGCTTCTCTGTCATCAATCCTCAAATTCGGCATGTCTGAAGCTGCACACAAGTAATGGGGCACTCGCATTCAGCATCTCACCGATGAAGTGGTTGATGAAGTCGAGGAAATCGCGAGGTGTGATGAAGTTGTATCTAAGGGCGCTCTTCTTCAGGTCCACATTGGTCTGGTCCACCTATCAAGCACATCGTACTTCGCCTAATTGTCCAGGAAATTAGAGGAGAGATTTTCGGAACAGGAGTTGGTGCAGAACCAGCAAACCTCATGTTCTCCAACCCACTCCGCAGCCACATGGACACACGCACAGGAGACAGCTCCGAACCACACGCCCTGCAGGCATACAAATCCCGACCTGTTGGTGGAACGCCACAATCGTTTCCGACAGCTTCTGATGTCGAAGAGCATCCTCGTCAGGTGCATGCCTGTTCCGCAGATCCATGCTGTGAAGGGATGCAGTCCTTCTCCTCGCCAGCCCCGGTACAGCCTCCTCGGATTTGTTGAGTAGTTCTGCAGGCTCACGGCAGTGACACCGCTTCTTGAAAGGTAAGCGACCCGTGAAGGTATCTTCACCAATCTGCATGCTGGCCTTGTCAGTGTCAGAGGGCGCATGAGAAGGCCAAAGCAAGGGGGTTGGAAGGATGCCATAGACTGCAGGCCCAGTTGCGGTGAAGTCGGCGGCCACCTGCAGAAGAGCCTCCTGTGGCCAGTCCCCAAACCAGTCGATGACACAGCGATTGAACAACGCCGGGCTGGAGTTCGACCGATTGTAGAAGTCTGGATTCGCAGGGTTCCTGACAACGGCTTGAACTGATGCTCAACTCCAGCACAGTGACGACATGCTCTGTGTGTGTGCTTGTTTGCGACTCTGTGTGTCTCTCTGTGTCTGTCTGTCTGTCTCTGT